TTAAATTAAAGTATAATTTGTAAATGTACTCCGTAATATATTTTTATAATATACGAAGTATATCTATATATAATGTATTCATAATTAAAATGTTAGATTGAAAATTTTGATGGGAGAATTATTGTAGAGTCTCTTAGTTCTATAATATGTATCCTATGAGTTGACATTATTTTTGACATCAGAGAACCACTAGAATAGAATAGGTGTAGTGTCCTTATGTTAGTAGAACTGGTCATCCTACGTGTAAACCTGCCGAAACTAAGATGCTACGCAGCAAGTCATTAGCTCAAGGAAGGACTTCTTTTCTTTCAAAGAATCTGCCTGCTCGAAGACTCCTACTCGACTTTGTTGACATAGGCGTGCGCAAGAGTCCTATAGGCAGTTGGTTAGAGTTACATCCTATGGAAGTCCATATATAAATAAGGGGTTCCACAGATGGTTCTAGACACGAGAGAGGAAGAAGAATATATCAGGCTAACAAGAGGGAATACACTATGCGTTCATCCATCACAGAGAAGTGTGAGTGAATAGAGCTTATCATATACACATACGTGAGGTCTCAATGAGAAAATCAGCCGTGGATCTTCTTTGAAGTTTGTTCAGCCAGTGAATCGTGGGAGGCTAAGCAAAGGTCAAGACACATCCTTATTGCAGAGCAACGAGAAGGTGTAATAGGCCTGGAGTGACACAAACAGAGTTTGGTGTCTGATCAGGTACGTAGACAAATTTGTTCAATAGAAGGATCTGTTGAGATTGATTGTGTAATTCTTAGGGGAGAGCATCGGTTCGGGTCGGTCGGTTTCGGCCCAAAACCAAAATAACCGAAAATAAAAATGACTCACATTAACCGACCGAACCGAACCGAAACTTTTTTATAACCAAACAAACCGAACCGAGATAAATCGATTCGGTCCGATCGGTTTTCAAATAACCGACCAATCGGAGATAATATCCCATCGGAATCTTCCTCGAGCTCATAGGGCTTTCCGTCCCCGTTGGAAACCGAAACATGCGAGGATCCAAATGGAGCGGGATGTCCTTGGTACAGATCCGATCTGAATGTCCCAGCTGTCGATGGACTGAGAGGCATGTTCCACACCAAATAATTCACCGGCAGATTAGTACAACGGAGTATCGGCGGAGAAAGCAGAGTAGCTGCCACAGCCGTCGGCGTCTGATCTTCGTCCATTCTAAAATACTTTAAGGCGGCGTAAAGACTTGATGTCGTCTTGCCGTACGTTTATGGAATTATATTAGCCGATTAGGGATTAGAAAAGTCAAGATACGGAGATTGGGGTACATTGAGACAGCAACACTAAATTTGGGATGGGCCGCCATCATTAGTTGGGTTTTGGACTGGGCTTTGTTCCTTGAATTAATAGATTAGGCTTACATATATAAAATTTACATAATCACATATACTAGGCTCGATTTTTTGGTCGGTTTCGGTTAATACCGCCCAGAACCGAAACGGAAACCGAAAACCCGAATTAACCAACTTATATATATACTAAAACCGAAACCGAAATTTCGGTCGGTTCGGTTAAATCAAATCGGTTTACCGGTTGGTTCGGTTAAATTGCTCACCCCTAGTAATTCTTATGTTGATCGAGTGGAAAGGCTATTACATGGATGTGGGCCTCGCAGACGTAGGAGAGTTAGCTTCAAACTGCGTAAACAAATCTCTGTGTCTTTACTTGCTTTGGTGTGTGTTTGAACCGATGTTAGAAAAGGTGTTGTAGCATTCTTTGAAGTCTAGCAGTTGAGCTACAACACAATTTCCAACAACGTTCTGTTTGTGTTGTGTGTGAGTTTATCTGGTTTATATATTGTGCTGTGTGTGTGGAAATTTCAGAGTCTTGGCTTATTTATTGTGAAATTTGCACTAAATAGTGCTAAAACATACTTATGTGTTTCTCAATCTAGTGACTTTTTATTTTCTAAGTATTACATGAATAATGTCTAGTGGTGGGATTAATGTCCAGTGACAGTAGACATTTGCTTTGAACAATGTACAGTTGCGGTGAAAATTTACTTGAACAATGCTCATTGGATTTGAACATGTACATACTACATTGAGAAATTAAAACATAATCCTCCATTCCAAACATGAGAGGTTTTAATTTTTAAGAGCATTAAGGGTAATGTATTTTGGCGTTGAGTTTTCAAAAATGTCCTTTTATGTGATGATAAAAGTATGATTTGATGAGTAGATTAGTAGTGAATAGATATAATGTGATATGTAAAAATAACTTTTTAATAAAAATAAGAAAAGTTTTTTTTAGGACGAATGAAAAAGAGAAATTTCTAGGGACAGAGGGAAAATATTACTACATTGTGAAACTCATTATGTTTTAATAGTATGGTAAATTCCCTAATTTATTTGGTAATGCGGAGTAGAATCTTGGGACTCGATCTAGTCTTAGAATACCTTATAGAAAAACCCAAATTTCAGATTTTTTTCTTTATTTTTTTAAGGTAACTCCTAACTCTTTTTAACCAAGCCTTAGGTGTGTTGCCTATACATGTGTGTGTCTATATATATATATATATATATATATATATATATATATATATATATATATATATATATATATATATATATATATATATATATATATATATATATATATATATATATATATATATATATATATATATGGGATAGACTACAGTGAGATGACACCTTATGGTGCGATGACATGTTTCGGTCAGATGACGCAAAGCTCACCACTGCCCACTGCAAAGCTCACTAAGCACAACTACAAAGCTCACCGAACTGTAAGGCAAAGCTCACCATATTTTTTTTAACACTTTGAATTTTTTTTTAAAAAAATAAAATCAAAGGAAGGGGTGCTGACTAGACATTGACCGTTGACTCCAGCATTAACCGCCGCCTGCTACCGCCAGTCACCAGCCGCCGCTAGTCGCCACTGCCTCCGCCGGTCGCCGGTCACTGCCGCCGACAGTCGCCGGTCACCGCCGCCGGTCGCCGCCGCTGCTCCGCCTCTTGCGGCCGCCGTTGACCGGTGGCTGACCGGTGTTGCTATTTTATTTTTAATTAATCTAGCCTTTGGATCGGGTGCATCGTGCGGCTCAAATTGCATTCTCCACTCAGATTTTGAGATAGTGCATTTTCAAAGGATTTTGATGCATTTCGACAGGATGAATTTTTAACCCTTTTTGGTGCACCTAATTTTGATGCAATCTTGACCCTTAGATCTCACAATCTAAAGCACCAGATTCATTCTTATTACTTTCATAAGATCGCATTCTCACTTGAACCAAAATCTATATATATATATATATATTGTGTGTGTGTGTGTGTGTGTGTGTGTGTTACGTAGTAGTGTTTCTGGGCTGAAAAACTATTGTATTCTCTCTTGGTTATTTACAATACAATGGGAAGTATATATATACAGCAAGGTATTCCTAATAGGATTAGGAATTCTAAATAAAAGGAAGCTACCATATACAAGTCTAATACAAATCAAAGATTAATATTCTAATATTCCTTTTCCTTTTCTAACACCCCCCTCAAGTTGGAGCATGTAGCAATGAAATGCCCAACTTGGGAATCAAGAATTCATGTCGTGCTTTGCCCAGTGCCTTTGTATGCATATCAGCTAGCTGATGTGTAGTGGAAACATGATCTGTCTTGATGACTCCTCACAGTAGTTCGTCTCGAACAAAATGGCAATCGACTTCGATGTGCTTCGTACGTTCATGGAAAACAGGATTGGCTGTGATATGTAATGCTGCAGTACTGTCACACTTTATGATCATAGGCTTCGAATGTTCAATCCCAAGAGAACCAAGTAGACTCTTGAGCCACTTTAACTCACAAGTGACCGCAGCTAGAGCTCTGTACTCAGCTTCTGCAGACGATCGGGCCACAGTCGTTTGTTTCTTTGTTTTCCAGGAGACAGGAGATTTGCCAAGTTGGACAAACCAACCAGTGAGGGATCTCCTTGTCAACGGACAGGCGGCCCAGTCTAAATCACACCATCCCGTTAGCTGCAAGGTATTGCTGGCTGATAAGAAGATCCCTTGACCAGGTTGCCCCTTCAAGTATCGAACCACACCCATTGCAGCCTTCCAGTGATCTTCACGAGGCTCTTGCAGAAACTGGGCCAGTGTATGAACCGCATAGGACAGCTCCGGTCGAGTGACCGACAAATAAACAAGGCGACCAACGAGGCGTCTATATTTCTCAGGGTCAGGAAGTAGTGGCGTGGTAGTAAGCGCCAAGCGATGGTTTGGCTNTGATGAGAGTCACTACCGGCGATCACAAGGTCATCCACATAGACAAGAACATGTAGGACACCCTCCCTCTGTCGTAGCGTAAAAAGAGAATAATCGGAGATAGACTGAACAAAACCATAGTTCTTTAAGGCATGAGAGAGTTTGGCAAACCAACATCTGGGGGCTTGCCTTAATCCATATAAAGATTTCTGAAGTTTGCAAACAAGACCTGGACGAGGAGGAGTGAATCCGGGAGGCAGGCGCATAAAGACTTCATCACTAAGATCACCATGAAGAAACGCATTGTGAACATCCATCTGATGAAGCTCCCATGATTTAGCAGCAGCCACGGCTAATAAGGTTCTTACGGTGGTGAGTTTCACGACAGGAGCAAATGTTTCATTATAATCCAACCCTTCAACCTGATGATTACCGAAGACCACCAGTCGTGCCTTGTACCGTTCGATACTACCGTCGGCCTTGCGTTTGATTTTGTATACCTATTTGCTCCCCAAAGGCTTTTTGTGAGGAGGGGCACTGACTAGAGTCCAAGTCCCGTTACTCTGCAACGCATCAATTTCCGCCCGCATTGCCTTGCGCCACGCTTCGGATCGCATTGCTTCACGAAAATTTCTGAGCTCGACCTCGGAGTCGATGGCTGTGAGATAGCACTTGTGTGAAGAAGTAAATTTGTCATAATTGATGAATGCACTGAGCGGATACTTGCTGAGCGTTTGGAAGGTAGTATATGTGACATGATCCTTCAGACGGGTGTTCGGTATGCGTGCTCGTTGCCCACGACCAACTATAGGATCCGGTGTGGGTGCTGCCTCGTTGGCAGTGGTTGGTGCCTCGTCGGGTAGATGGTCCGTCAGTGCAGTACTGGTGCTGCCTCCAGTGCTGGCAGCGCTGGACGACGTCATGTCGCCCGCTGCTACGGGTGCGGTGTCTTCGGTTGCTGGAAGGGGCTCCGACGCTGGGTTGTCGGTGGCGGCGTCAAAGACCGTAGGTGCTGCAGCACCAGGTCGTCTTGGGGGCCGTGTGATCAGATCCTCCTCCATTGGTAATGGGCCGTCCGACACTGGAATTGGTTGATCGGTCTCTTTATCTGAAAGGGTTAGATATGGAAAAATATTTTCCAAAAAAATAACATCACGGGAAACAATTATTTTTCCCGTGTCGGGGCAATAAATTCTCCATCCCTTCTTGCCATGTGGATATCCGACAAAGATACCCGGTGTGCTTCGTGGAGCGAACTTATCACTCTCTCGTCTTCGAACATAGCATCTGCATCCAAACACACGAATGTGAGATAGGTGAGGTGGGTTCCCATGCAATTTGGAGTATGGTGAAACCCCCCCTA